TGAGACAAAAGATCTTATGACATGAGTTCTTTATGCTATTTTATCTATTTTGCAGAAATTTCATAAAAAAATTAATAATTAATTTTATACCTTAAATTTAATTTGGTCGAATTTTACTTTAGATAGTTGGTATCAGTCATTGGTTTGACAGTTAATGTCAAAATCGCTTCGCCATGCCGTCCTTAATTTACTTATTTACAATAAGCAGCTGTTAATGTTAAAGAAGAAATTTTAAAAAGGATTTTTTTGGTGTTAAACAAAATTTATTACCAGAAAGGTCTCGTAAGAAAAATCATAAAAATATTCAAAATATTATTTTACCAGTTTGCTGTTTAAAGTATAGCCAACCTATAAAACCAAAATTTTGGGTGGGGTAAAGTATCTCATTACAGCACCGAAAGCGGTGTTATAATGAAGTCATTATGAACGCAAAATAGATGAATGGTTTTTCAACGGTATGGTTGTTTTTAGTGACTAATCTCTATAATAGAAGTATTTTTACACTGGTTTTCGACATCATGTCCCAACCCCATTGGGTAGGGTAATTTCATAAAAATGTATATTTCGGAGATTTTATAGGTGTGACCCAAAAATTTTGAATAAATTTTTTCTTTTTAATAAAATGTATTGTAATTGGCATATTTCAACATCGTAAAAAATAATAATAACACTGTCTTTAATTTTGTTTTGAGGTTAAAACATTTTTGGTTAGTTATATTTGGTTTAGTTAGTGTAAAGTAAGAGCAAGCGTTAAACTTTTTTGCTATTATACAAAATTTATTTAAGAAATCCTTTCCTAGTAGAATCTAGATACAATTAAAAGCTATAGGCTTTTAAGCTTGACTTTTATTGTAACATTCTGATAACCGCTTATCATTGAATTATTAACTTTCTTTGCGCAAGATTTAATGAAAGACAACGTGGGCTTGACAAATCTATTTATTTATTTCGTCCATCATACAAGCCAAATCAATTACCATTAACCAATTTTCTGGGAAAAATGCAACACCTGTGTGTAATCCCCATGCATGTGTGGAGTTTCTCAAGCAATTGCACACGATTTATTGAACAATTCGGGCTGGATTTTCTCAATGACAATGCCTGTCGTAATAAGCCGCGAAAAGACTAAAAAATTGAAATTAAGTCGCCCGATACGTATTTTTATGCGTTAAAGTGGTACGTGCGAACGCGTTTGGTAACAAGTCTCACTCGCAGACATAATAATTTGTTTAATTGTTTCTTTCTTTCGACACTTTATTAAATGTTACGTTTTGCGTATTGATGTTTGGGTAATATGTGTGGGATCCAATTATTTAGTCCAATTCAAAAGTATTTTATATACAGGGGTTTAAAAATCACGTGGCAAAAATGTAGAAGGTGGCCCTTATCCTAACAAATTGATTTAGTTTACCTATTTTCCAATTTAATTAAATCAAAAATAAATTTATGATTTATGATTGGCTAGTTTCTTAAAAATTTTATATTTCTATTTAAAAACGAGCAATGCTATATAAGCTGAACCTTTTCTTAAAAAAAAACAATATAAAAATGTTCTAAAATAAATTCGGGATTATTAATATATAAAATTTATATATAAAGTTTTTGAAATAATTTAAATTTTCTACTCCCCCCTTTAAAACGTCCATTATCGTACATGTTTCCATGACATTTTTAAATACACATTGACAAGCTGTGGCTTTATGGCGCTTTAGTCACGGGCTGAAGTTAGCAACAGGTTTTTAGTCACGGGCTGAAGTTAGTTTTAAGTTAGTTGACAGTTGTCAAATGTCATACAATCGTTAAAATAAAGTGCCTTTCTTGTAGATAATACAAAAATACAAAAGTATTAAATAGATTATATGAACGTTTGTTGATATCGCCGTTGTGGTGCACTTAACTAGATTTAACTGATAAAGCGTTAAAAAATTTGCGTACAGTGCCCATAAAACATTCTCTTCTCTTTTACTCTGAAAAACTGCTTCTATATCGATTGTTAGTCTATTTTCAAGATATAAATTTTGATTAACACTGAAAAATTTGAGATTTTAACGCCGGTAGATTCCCAAATTTGAAATTTTTACGGAAATTTCAATAAATACAACTATTACTTTTTCTACCTTTAGCATTTCCCGTGTATGAATTTTTAATTCACTGCGCGTCAAAATTAACGCATAACAAGTTAAAAAAAATCCAACTCTAAAACGCCTTTACCAATTTTTATAAAATTTTGAATAAAAATACTTTAAGTTATATCTCAGTTTACGTGTTTAAGGGTTTTTCGAGAGAATATCCTTAAAGGCCTTTTATTTAATAATAACAAACGCTCAAAAAAAACTTTTATAGGGAATTTTTTTTAAGAAAATAAAAAATATGCTGTGAAAGACCGTATTTTTGTTAATATTTAAACAAATATTTAATTTAAATCATTTTTTAGATAATTAAGTATTTGTCGTAGAAAAAGTATACTATGCAACTCGTTTATAAACTTTTCTAGGCACTCATTTAATTAAGCACTCGCTCGAAAGCTTGCTTGTGGCTAAATTAAATTTGTGACTAAAATGGCGTTTATCAAACTTGATACATAATATACCATTTTAATTTACTATAACAAGATTTTAATCATTTAAACCCTTATAAAATCGCTAATACCTAGTGATAATTTTCATTTTAACGTCAAAAATTGTAGAAAACTTTTTAATTATTTTACTAAATGGTTATATTTTAAACATTTAATATTTTAATATTAGCATTACAAATTCATGTAAGGAAAAGTCTTTAAATCGATTTTAAATATGAAATCAATAATAAAAATTGTATACAATCACCTTTCAACAAATAAAAACCATTAATATTTGCATTCTACCTAAAATTAATAGGTATATGTTTTTTGTTAAAACTATTGATATAACTTTTTCGTGTGAAAATTTACGCTAGATTAATAACTATGAATAATATCATTAAGCACGCTACTTTAAATGACCGTTCCTAATAAAAAAGCTTATTTGGAGAAAGTTTCCTTGCATGTTCATTTTTAACATATTATACAGTGTCTGTAAAAAACCTACCACATATATCTTAGACCAAAAGTGAGTGGGGAAATATCGCTCCAACGCTTACAACGCTGCAGTGATGTAGTGTCAAGGTGTTTTTTTTTATAAAAACGTTTAAATAAAAACAAATTATCTTGAAATCAAACTTAAAATTATTTTATTAGGTTTTGCATTTTGATTTCAAGGTAATTGTTTCATGTTTAAAAGAAATAATGATTTTACACTAAATTAACAGTGTAACGTTAAAAGTGATTAGGCTACATTTGTGACATTTACATCCCAAAATACGATCATTTGTCTTAAAACTTCGATATAGAATAACAGAAATTAATTTATCTTTAAACGCTAAACGCTGAAAAGTACAGCATGGCAAATGAAAAACGCAAATGATGCTTGAAACATTGGACCGTGTGTCGTCACCGCCTCAAAATATCCCCACTCTTGCGTTTGGATGCACTTACTTTTCGGGTGACCTTTCTGTATGTATACAAAAAACTTGATTGATGGGTTCCCATTTTAATTTTGTCCAGCTAAACTAAATGTACTCTCTTAAAATGAATTAGTCAAAAATAACTAATTATAAGTCATATTTGACTAATTGTCATAGCGAAAAAGTAGTCAGTAATAATTAGTCAAATTCTACTGAATGAAATAGTCAAATTTGTAGATTTAAATTTAAAAAATAGTTCTGACCCAGCCGGGGTTTGAACTCGGGTCTGTCGCTTGACAAGCGTATGTCATAACCAATGAGCCAACAATCACTTTTATAAAAATCAATCTTATTTGTCTATAAATATTGCTCATAATATTTTAAATTTAAATATATTTTTTGTGTTGCTGTTTTAAACTAAATTTGCATCTCTGTTTGTTTTTATAGACCATTTAACCATGAAGCCTATATGCATTTAACTTAAACAATAATTTGTTGTTGGCCGCTAACGATTAAAGAAAGTAGTTACTTTTAAGTAAAAAATGTTGACTAATCTTAAATTAGTCAAACTTTAACTATTTCAAAGAAAACGACTATTTTATTAGTAAAAATGCTGGTACTAATTCAAATAGTCTTTCATTTTAAAAGATTACCTACTCATGGTCTTTTTATTATGTTTTTATTCTAATGGCGTGTGATAGTGTGACACTTCAACTTTAAGTAAAAAATAACTTTATATTTTAATGTTTTTTTTAATGTTGCTGTCTGAAATTATTTATAGAAATAATAATAATATTTATTAATTATAATTAATTTGCTGCACCCAATAATGTTTTAATACGTTTAAAGTAGACATAGATTTTCGTAAAAACTACTTGCAATGTTTGCAAAAGAAAATCAGAATATCGTTTGTTATTTTCTTTATTAATAAATATTGTATTTTTTGCATCCATTAAATTAAAAATGCTCTGTAAATCCGTTGAGTGAAAGAGTATCAATGGTAAATCGTTATTTCTTAGTCGTATGTATGCAACTCTCATTGCAGCACTGGACAACATTACATTTGTCAATATCAATTTTAAATTCTAAATAAAATAAACGTTCCTATTATCGGCATAACACCAATTACTTTCACCTATACATTTATATTATTTCCTCGTTGTTTATTACACTTAAGTATAGTTTCCCAAACAGTTTTAAAGCTGGTATCGCTAAACTATTTTAATTTTTCTTTTTTTTTATTCCTTTTATCTTTATCATTTAGTACTTTTTAAAATGTTTTTGTAGAACAAAAAAACTTATTGTGTACTATTGTAAATACCTAGAAGCATGAAGAAATATTTCAATAAATTTTTTTATGATTTTAGGTTTTTATCCCCCTGAAAAGTTAATACTTTTGACATTTTGCATTTTAAACGGCGATACTTTTATTATAAAAAAAAATTAAAAACAGGTTTTAACTTGTTTAACATTGCTTAGTGTTTATAATGTAAAATAAAAATACATTTTCTTTTTTTCAGTATGTTTGAAGACGAAAATATGCAAAAGCAAGGCGAAGTAAGAAGCTCTAGGCAAGAATTATCATCGCTGCATAGTGAACTAGACACCGCTAGAAAATCTAAAGAGGCTCTTTGTAGAGAAAATCGGTAAACATAATAATCATACATTTTTGTAAATTTAATAGAAGGTTTTCTCTGTCTTTATTCAAGACGACTCCAAGATGAACTTACATCTGTTACCTTGGATTGTAAAGAAGCCAGAACAGAACTAGAATGTGCCAAACGACAAATCGAAGATTTGAAGACTCAGCTTCAAATATATGTCACTGAGATAAAGAGAACTGAAGACCTTATATCCCATAAAGTATGATAAATATTCTAAATATTTGTCATTAAATATCTTCTAATATCTTGTTTTTCTGTTGTAGGAAATTGAAAGAAACGAGATTCTAGACCAATTCAAGTGTTTATCCCAGGAAGCTGTGGTCTTAGAGAGCAACAACCACAGTCTAGAAACTGAAGCTAACCAAAACAAGGTGCAGCTGAGCGTGGCTCTGGATCACACAGCTGAATTGGAAACGCGAATTGAAGACCTGGAATCCATAATCAAGAGCTACGAAAAACAAGTAATAAGTAGATGCATTTTCTTGTTTCACCTGGCATATGTTTTTTGTTTGTTTTTAGATTGCCGAACTGACAAGCCAGATGGCGTACTATGAGATTCAAGCAAAGCAAAAGGGTTCAGATCAGGAAAGGTCCGCGGACGAGGCGAAGCAAATGCGCGATTTGTGTGTAAAAATGGATCACGAGAAAGATAATATGCATAGGGAGATGCAAAGGAGAGATGATGATATTATGAAGGTACGAAAACACTTTTCACTGAAAAGCTTATCTAGTGAATTTTTTTTTAGATTCAGAGGAGTTTAGAGCGAATAAGAAACGAAAACAAAGATCTGCAGTGTCGATTAAATATCGATAGGGATAATGCCGACGGTTTGGAAAAATTGTTGAACGAAGCTAGGCAGGACATCATACAACAAAGGCTTGAAAATCAGGATCTTCAAAGGGAAATCGAACGATTCAAAACTGATATGGCTGATATGCAGGAAAGACTGTGAGTACTGATGATTTTTCTTTCTTGTTTGTCTAACTTTGCGTAAGTAGCTGTGGTAAGCGATGGTACCGAGAAAGTTCTTGTTTCTGTAACACATTGTTCATTTTTGAAGCGTTTCCACCACGGAACAGCTGGAAATATACCAGGACAAAGCGTTGGACTACAGCCAACAAAATAAACAGTTGCGTAGGGAAATGGCGGACGAAAGGTTTTCGAGGGCTCGAGACGGTGCCTTGTCTTATCGCGATGACACCAAACATTTTCCGTCACTATAGATTAGTATTTTTATTTTTTATTTTATCTAGGAACTAAGTTTTAAAAGTATCCCGAACTGTTTTAAATTTTAACATAGTATCCTCCACAGCAAAAAGGTACACTGAGGACAACTTGTTTCTGTACTACTTTTTTATTATATTGTTTATAGTTTTGCCATTTAAAAGTAAAAAAAACTATACTATTTTATCTCATATTAGTTCATTATTGTGTTTTTATTACTTAAAATCTATTGAATTATAAAAAAGTTTAATACAGCGTTTCATGCAATAAGTCTACGTTAAAGTAAGCATGTTTTTGACTTTTGCATTAGGGCAACTGTTTTTAAATAAAAAAATTATAAAAATTAAAGGAATTCTTAGGAAGTCAATGGTTTCATTGCAACAGCTGTAGTATAGTTGGCCTGTTAAAATCATCGACAGCAGTAACGATAAGAACCACAGTTAAACAACTGGCCGACTCTACTTAGTCCGTCAACCGAATTACTTACATTTTTATTATTTTTTTAAGATGAAAAGAGATGACAACTTATTACATGACACCCTGTATGAACATTTTAATATGCTAAATATGCAAAAGTTGTAATCTCCACATTTGTACAGGGTGATCCCCTATAATGTCCCCCCCTTTAACTTTTTTATTTTAAGTGTCCAAAAAATTTAAAAGTGTGGTTGTGTAGGTACTAAAAAATACTTCTTTTCTACTTATAAAGAAAATTGGAAAATTGTTCAGTATACAGGGAAAAAGAAAAAGTTTATTTTTTTTTCAATGGATCACCCTATATATGTGTTTATTTTTCGATTCCTTGTAAAATTCTAAGCATATTTCATATTACATACCATATAACTAAATTTAACCGTTTCTCAAATATTTAAATTATTTTTAAGATAATTAGTTGAAATAGTTTGTCTTTCTCTGTCTGAGTAGGCCATTTTTACTTATTTAACAAGACATATTGACATAATGTCACTATAGTAATTTATTTTCAATACAAATTTTGGTATACTGAGGCTTCTTGATTTCTAACAGTTTAAAAAAGCATTTAAATGATAACATTTCGAATGCGAATATTTCAGAAACGGTTGAATTTAGGTATAGGGTGATCCATTGAAAAAAATAAACTTTTTGTTTTTCCCTGTATATTGATCAATTTTTAATTTTTTTATAGGTAGAAAAAAAGTATTTTTTAGTACCTACATAACCACACTTTTAAATGTTTTGGGACACTTAAAATAAAAAAGTTAAAGAGGGGCGACATTTTAGGGGATCACCCTGTACATACAACTAACATAGAAAACAAATTTTAAAAGTTTTAAATTTAGATATTTTTATATTTTAACGCTAATATTTATTGAACATAATTTTACGAAACGTTTTAAAAATGTACTGTTTATTGTTTATGATAAATGGATATATGATTTATTTATAGATCGCTATTTTATATCACGTATTTTAATAAATATTTTTTACCAAAATAAGATTATTTCTTTCTTATACCTTGCCATCTTTCCATTTTTAAATACAGTATTATATTATTATTATTATTATTAAGCCATCAGGGCTATTATAGTAGTGGTAGTGCACAAAGCACTATAACTTAAACAAATATTAGAAATGTGAAGCAAACATGTAAAAGCCGATAAATACATTTTAACTTATTCTGAGATATTGGCCAAAAATGTGTACAACAAAGTCCCACAAATATTTAAAAACTATTAAATGGGGATGTTGCTCCTGTTGGGTTCTATCTGTTTAGGTTTTTACTTAAAATGCTGTGCTGTGTCAAAAGACTTTACCAAAATTAGTAAGAATCGATAATATTCTCTTAAAATTTTAAAATGGATTTATTGGTTTTTGCATGTTCCCTCTACAAATGTTATGTGTTATAATGAAGTCATTATGAACGTAAAATAGATAAAGTACTCTAAGCACTTTGTTTTTTGTTTTGCTATTGGGGAATATTTCTAATGTTTGTTTAACATATCACCTAAGTTGTCATTTTTCAAGTATCTAAGTTACAAAGACTTTTTGTCATAATTTCTCTCCCGAAAATCCATATTACTCTTATTTCAAATAACATTGTAATTTTACCAATTCCAAAAATAAAATCAATTTCCTTATTATAAGTAGTTTTTAAAACCTTAAAAATATGGTGAAACTATTTAGCCACAGGTAATTTCATCCCCCTGTATAATTTCAGTAATTCCAAGTTCTCGACCTATTCCTCCTCCTCATCCTCCCCCACCATTGATAAAATATCCAATGAAAAACAATCTGAAAAAGGCGTCCAATCTGAAATCTATGAATGTTGCAAGATGTGTGAATGTACAAAATATAAAACCAGAGAAATAGAGGTGAAATCAAAATTCCTAGAAACTGTACAAACGATAAAAAATACGAAGAAAACGTCCAACGAATGTCTGAACAAATCAAAAAAATGCGCGAAAAATTGTACGAAAAGGTGTTTGGCATTAAAAAAGGATTCGTCCTTTACCTGCGATAGAAGATGCATCAAGGATCTTATTAAAAATGTAGAAAATATTTGTAACAGACAAAGTTGTAATGTGAACAACGATAAAGGTAGTAATTAAGATAAGTTTTTAATTGTAAAATAAAGTTATTGTGGTTTTTATCTTATTCGGACAATGCAAGCTAATGTTATTTCCTTTAAGGAAATAATAGTGTATACCCACGAGTTTCATATATTAATATAATAATAATATATATTAATATAATAATAATTATTTTGTCAAATCAAATCGTAATTTAATCGTATGTGCTTGACACGCGAGTGCAATCTTCTTTTTTGACCAATAGTCGCACACAATATTTTTTCTATCGCAAGAATCTTATTTGATATTTGATATGGATATTAATTTGATATTTGATATGGATATCAATTTGATCCTTGATATGGATATCAATTTGATATTTGATATGGATATCAAATAAAAAGGTTTAACGAGTGAAAATATACAATATGCAAGTACTTTTAAGTAACAAGTTAATCATAATCATAATCAACTAAAATCATTTCTCGTTGAAAAAAATTACATTTTAAAATACGTTTTTATTACACAGAAAGTAATTAAGTTTTCTTAATTATCCAAGAAAAGCATTTGTTTACTTTTTCATTCAATTTTATTGGCTTTGATCATACAATAACTTAGTTTTTGGAAACCCTTGCTAAACCTAATTAATAAAACATTTAGTTAGTTTTGTATTTATTTTAGCATGATATAAAATGTATGCTTTTCGATTTTAAAATAAATAAATTTGAAGGCATATTGAAAGAGTCGGAAGTAAACTTATTAATACACTTTTTGGCTATGATCCCAGAACTATAATAAAATAAATAATAAAATACTAAAAATGGCTTTAACACTATTGGTCATTTTCTTCTACCTAGAAGCGCCATAGAGGGTCATATTGACCCTGCGTTTTTTAGGGATATAAAATGCTGACTAGATAAAGAAAATAAAGCTTTAATTCATAATTCTTTTTATTATCTGCCTTTAAAATTTAATTGTGGATTTAATTTAGGTTGTAAAGTTGTAGAAGCACCGTCATTTTCTTCTACCTACAAGCGCCATAAATAGTCATATTGACCCTACGTTTTTAGGGATATAAATGCCTATCTGGAGACAGAAAATAAAGCTGGAATTCATAATTTATTAAACAAAAAGTAAATTTACAATTTTAGACTATACTATTCAATGCAATTTAAACAATTAATTTATTAATTTATAAGTTGTGCTCATACTTGTAGTTTATATCAGTGTAAAGTCAAAAATTCTCAGCTACAAAGTTCTATTAGGTCAAAAGATGATTACAAGTTTAATCCGAAAGGGGTTAAAATGACCCCTATGGCGCTTCTAGTGTTAAATTTCTTTTTTAAGCGTATAATAATGTTGATATTATAACACTCGTAAATCTATGCAAGGTAGGTATCCCTAAAAAATTTAGGAAAAGATTGAGCAAGTCAAAATAAGACGAAAACCTAAAAAAAAATTCTAATCACTTATATTACTACTAGTTCATAAGTCAAATTAATAATTATAATTGGATAGCGTTTATCGAAAATGAACCAAGCGCCAAAAACTTTTTGTGGGAAAACCAAAATTATCTGCAAAATAACTCATTTTTAATGCTGCCCAAACAATTTATAAAGATGTGGGAACCTTCTCAATCCTTTTGAGAAAAGTTCCAAATGATGATTAACCTTTTGGGCATTATTAAATATGAGTTATTTTAAAAATAATTTTACTAAGCCCAGAAAAAGTTTTTGGCGCTTGGTTCCTTTTTGATAAGCGTTATACAATTATTATTATTAACCTGTACAAAAATAAAAGTAAAATGTCATTATATCAGTTGAATATAACCTAAAAATAATGTGACAGGATCTTAAAAAATATTGTAATTAAATGCTTAAAATATACAACACTGCGGCGAAAGCTTATTAATTGCTTCGCAAACAATCTACTGCCTTGGCTAGCGCCTCGTTAGTCAAATGTATGCTCGGCTATACTATGACCCTATTCTACTAGGTATATTATACTTATAATCCCCTAGGCCTACCACTAAAACCCAAAATTATTATTTTTTCTTTTTATTTAAATTCAAATAAACTATTCTGCGGGTTGAAGTCTTTGAATTTATTTTTTTAATAGCTCCAGCTTGGCGAGTGTGTAGTTTTATGAGACGGTAAATAAAGATTTATACAAAAAGTATTCTTCTTTGTATAAAACTGTCGGATTAAGTAGAAAAAGCTCCCTAATCCATGTCGTTATCCACCACAAAAGCTGAAATTTTTCAATTGCAACAATTCCACGGTTGCGGAGTAATTTTACTAAAATGTACGAGACTCACAAAAAATATTCTTATCCATTCCCACCTTTAAAACGCCCATTATCATGTTTCCCTGTCACTATAGTGATACATCTCCTAAATAAACATCGACAAGCTGTGACTTTATGGCGTTTTAGTCACGGGCTGAAGTTAGCAACAGGTTTTTAGTCCCGCGCTGAACTTAGGTTAAGTTAGTTGACAGTTGGCAAAGGTCATACAATGGGCAAAATAAAGTGCCCTTGAAATATATTACTTACCTATAGATATTATTATTACAATTACTTACCTATAGATATTATTATTACAATTACTTACCTATAGATATTATTATTACAATTTTTTAAATTCTGATTGCGACCGATCTGCCATTTATGTGTGCAGGGGCATAGATAAATGTTAAACGATTTTTAAACAAGTCTTTAATTCGTTTACTTAATTTAATTAAAGTAAAACTTGATATTTAATAAAAGCTTAAAAT